TCCTATCTGTTGTCTTGCTACATATAATGCTTCTTGAAAATTTGTAAAACCTTTGTAAAGAGGGTCTGGAAAATTTTTAATACAATTTAAAACTTCTAGCCAAGAATGGAAAATTCCTGGAGTTCTTCATTTAATAACAACATAAATTTTAAACCTTTGCTTGTTTTGACTAAAATATTCTGACAATGCATTCATGCATGCAAGAAAATATTTTTGGTCTTTTAGATTCTTATTATAAGAAATCCATAAATTGTCTAAAATACATTCTCTTCTTTGGATAAAGAAATATGCGATAAAATTTTAAGGAAAATATTACTATTGGGAAAGACTATAAGTTCTTGGTTTTCAAACCTTAGTCTGTCTTGTAACATTGGTCTGTTCTGATTAAATGGAGTCTGTGGTAATAATCTTAATGCAAATGAATTCCCAGGTGGAATTCCTGGTCTTATAGGCCTTGGTCTTGCCATCTGTATAACAAAATTATGTTAAACAAATTTAATAATTTCAACCTATTACTTAATATATCTGCTGCTTTATTATCACTACCTTTAATATGCTCAAATTCTATATTAATCCCTGTATTTGTAATTCTATCTATAAAATTTAACCATCTTCTTCTACTGCTTCTTTTTTAATCTATTTTCATTTTATTAACAAAAGAAACTATGGCTACACAGTCTGTTCTTATTGTTATTTCTTTCTTTGATATAATAAATAATTCAAAACTATCTAATGCATAATTTATAGCTAATAATTCTGCATCTATACTACTTAAATTTCCTTTTTCCTTATAATTTTCACTATTGTACCTACAAATTCTTTTTGTACTTTTATCAGTATATTTATTGAGTTTGCATATTAATATAGCTCCCCATCCTGTCATACTTCCATCTATTTCTATAATTAAGTATTCTGAATCTAAAGGCATAGCCAATTCTGGTAAGGTTTTTATTTTTTCTTTTATTTGCTGAATTAATTTTATGTCTTATTGATTAAAAAATCTTGATCCTGTAGAAGATGTCTTTGCATATAAAGGTCCTACTATTTTTCCCAAATCTTTCATGAATGGTCTAGCATAATTTACTAATCTTAAAAATTTTTGGATTTGTTTTAAATCTTCTAATTTATCTGGAAATTCTAAAGCTTTTTTAGCAATATGAGGTTGTAACTTAATTTTACCTTCTTCTATGTTAACTCCTAAGAAGTCTATAAATTCTTTAAATAGAATCATTTACTTTTTACTAATTATTAAACCATATTTAATAAATTCTGAAAATACTATTTGTAAATATCCTCTATGTTCTTATTTATTTTTACTGAAAACTAAAATATCATCTATATATACAATTATAAACTTACTATGTCTATTAAAAATACTTTCCATTTTTCTTTGGAAAATACTTGGTGCATTCTTAATTCCAAATGGCATTACAAGCCATTCAAAATGTCCCTCTGGACAAGTAAAAGCTGTCCATTTAATACTTTCTGGATACATTTTTATTTGCCAAAATCCTGACTTTAAATCAAATTTACTAAAAATTTTACATTCTTGGATTTTGTTTATTAAAACCGTCTTGTCTGGTATGCTATAAGCATCATCTATAGTATTATCATTAAGTCTTTTATAGTTTATTACCATCCTACTTTTTCCCCTAATAATTTCTGAATGTTTTCTGACTATGAAGGCTGCTGATCTATGAGGACTATCTGATTTTCTAATTACTCCTAATTCTAAGAGTTCTTTTATATGTATTTTAAAATCTTCTAAATCTAAGTTTGTGGCTTCAATATTCTTGGTTTTAATTATATATTCTGGGTTTTTAATTTTTAATTCACATAATATTTTGTCTCTTTTTCAATATTTTAAAACATTTTCTCCTATTATTTCTATCTTCTCTAATCTAGATATTAAATTTTCTATTTCTTGTTCTGTAATTAACATATCATAAATATTTTCATTGTCAATTAATTCTATAGTTCCAAAATCTATTTTTTCTAAGCTGTCTTCTTGAAAATTTATTTATTCTAAATTATCTTTCTCTATTAATTGACATTCTCTTTCTTTTTCACACTTACAGCTATTACTACTATTACCACCACGCTTCTCCATGCACTCTGATGGAAAATAAGTGGTCTGTGTTGGTGTAAATAATGTACGTTTTTGTAAATGTAAAAAATCTTTAGTAATTGTAACACTTCCATTATCTTTTAATAAAAAACTTAATCCTATAATAAAATATGTATCTTTAATATTTAAAGGTCTAATCCAAACTGATTCTTTTGGTAAGGTATATTCCATACTTTTACCACAGTTTTTCTCAAAACTAATCTTACTATTTGATTGTAGTAATTCTGTATAAGTGTAAAGTTCTCCATCCATTTGTTGTGCTTCTATTGGTTTGTCTGAATATGTTATGTATTGTTCTGATATTAATTTCTTATTAATTATACAGTTACTGCATCCTGAGTCTATTAATCCTAAACATTTTATTTCATATTGTCATATTCTTATATAACATTTTACCTTAATACTTTTAAGTTTTTCTGGATTGCATATTACCTGAACATATTCCTTCTCTTTATATTCTGTACTTTGACTTTGTTCTTCTATTTCTATTGTTTTTCCTTTATTATTATATTCTAACATTTCTATCTTGTTTATTATAAATTTTTGCATTTCTTCTAAGCTTTCAATTCTTTTTCTAAGAATTTTTATTTCTGAGATTTCAATTCTTTCTTTTAAGATTTTTGAATTGACTTCTTCTTTTTCAATAAGATTCTTTTCTTCTAAGCATTTTATACATGCTTCTTTATAACATTCTAAACATTTGGCTCTAAGTTTTTTTACTGGGTACCAACTACATAAGTAACAAGCTATATTATCTGATCCTTTGTATTTTTGCCAATTATGTATCTGATTCTTCTTGTAATCTTATATTAGAGAATTCATCTATTATCTCATAATCAGATTCTTTATTTTCTTCTAAATTTTTGTCTTCTATTGATATAATACTATAAATAGATTCTTTATTTGAGATATATTCATCTAATTGTATTAGATTTTCATTAGTGCATTCTATTAATGTACTCTTTTTATCATAATTATTTATTCTTTTTGGACAAGTCTAAGATAAATGTTTATTGCTATTACAAACATAACAACTAAGTCTATTTTTATAAGTTCTTTCTGATTTAAATTTCCTCACATGTCTTTTTTCATCTAAGTATGGTTTTCTCTTATTAGATTTTCTAAGAAAACATCTTTTCTTAAAAGATCTTTTATTCTTTCTTTCCTTATTACTATATTTATTTTTCCTTGAATTAGAGGCTCCATAAGTTTGTGGGGTAAAAATATCTTTACAGAATTTATAGTCCGTCTTTTTAAGTTGTTTTCGAATTTGTAATTCTACACATTTATCTTCTAAACATCTTATTACGTGTTGTATTATTTGTCCTATACTCCATTATTTTTCTGGTTCTTCTTTTACTGCTGGTAAATTATTCCATTTATCTGTAATTTCTAATCCTAATGGTCCTGGTAATTTATGAAATAGTTTATTACCGATTTCTTGGTTAAATGTGTTTCTTGATATTGAGGTTAAGTAATGGTACTCATTTAAAAAGTTCTTAACATATCTTCCTTTAGTCCATTTATAAAGACTAAGTTGTTCTAAATCTCTCATAGCTTTTCTTTGTATACTCATATGTCCTGAATTTGGGTCTACTCCTGCTATTAATATCTGTATTTTATTAACAAAATTATAAGGATTACTTCCCATATTAACTAATTGTTCGAATTCTTCTTTCTTTTCTAATTTAAATGCTTGTCGAAACAACCACCGCATTCTTATATTTATTATTCACCCAACTAACGTGCAATGCACGTTACCTCACTAGTATTCAAAATATTCCAATTCTCAACAATCCATATATTGACGTAACTACATGGTAATTTGGAGAGAAGTTGATGAAAATAAAAGATAGGGAAAAATAATAAAGATAGATTGAGAGTAGTAAAATTAAGTGTTAATGATAAAGAATATTGAAATACATACAACTTTTACTCTCTAAATTATAGATACTCTTTAAATTGCAAAATATACTCTTAAAAACTAGAAAGTTTCTTGAAAATGTTCTAAATTCATTAAAAGTTTATACTAAAATTTAAGTTTTGTAGGTAAAGTTACGTAGTTTGAAAGTTCATTGACCAATATTGTTTTTAGAGCACTTTCAATAGAATATCTAAATTGAAGATCCTATTTAGCAAATTCTCTATATTTTAGAAAGTCCATGCTTAAATATAAGTCTCAAGAAATTTTATGTTTTAATTTATTAAAATAAAATATAGAGACATTTAAAAAGCACAAATTTCAATACTTAACTAATGAAATTATTAGAACCATATTTGAATTGATTGGTTACTGTCATCTAGAAAATATGTTAAATGAAAAATGAGGAAAAATAATAATAATTTATTAAAAAACGTAAAATAAAGAATAAAAATAGAGAGCATAGTTCTAATGTATAAAATATTTTACTCTTTATTATTGAAGATTTTCTTTATTATATAGATGATGTTCTTTATATAATTTTTTTTCTTCTGAAAAATACTCTAACAATTTAATTATTTGCATACTTCACGTATGGATTAAAGAACGTGAATGAGCTAAGCCATTTGCACATTAAAAGTGTGAAAAATTCTACTTATACATAATTATTGCACATAATGGTGTTCAAAATGTGATGTGACAATCATCCAATTGCTGATATGCAAGTGTGAGACTTGAATTGAAAGTTGGATTCAGTGCTGTGTAATTAATGTCACAATTATATAGACAATCATGTACATGTAGAACTTTCCTAAAAGTGTATATCACTTTTGACGTCATCCAAGTTAGCATGATTTGATTGGTGAAAAAATGCCTACTAACGTGTTGTTATGTAGAACGATGTAAAAAGTGATTTACATTGATTAAAGTCATTGAAACGCGATTTTAAAATCGCAACAAGGTTAACGTTCACGAAAGAGACTGTACTCTCTCGCTCGCTCTTCCTTGCTGATACTGCTATACACCACAGCACCCAATCAATCTTCCAAAGTTATCGTTAATGGGGATAATTTACTACTAAAGGGGTTTGTGACGGCACATATATTTTTTTGATTTTCCCATAATTTTTGTTTGTTTCAAATAAATGTCTTCTATAACGTTGAAATCATCGTTTTTCTTACCCTCTCATTCTACTCCTTCGACTTCGTTTTTCCTGCCCGCTTCGATCCGATTCCCTCGGAAATTGAATCATAAAGGAAGGTTTAGTGTTTTCAGAGCTCAACCTTTTGACAGTTCAGAAAATAGTGATCAAAAGAACAATAAAAGTAGTTCCCCCAATGCCGGCGACCCTAAAATCCCCAATGGCACTATGGTAATTTTCTCCCGTGTCTGTGTATTGTGGAATTTGAATGCAGTTACATAATGGGTTCAAGTTGAATTTCTTATTTTTGTTTCATTTATTTTTTATTTTTATTTTTTTGGATATTTATTAGCATAAGAGCCGGAAGGATATCCTTTTGGAGTATGTACAAAATGTACAGCCGGAATTTATGGAATTATTCGTCAAAAGGGCTCCCCATCAGGTACTTATCTTAATTTCTTGTATATTGTTTTTTTCTGAAATTGCTAGGGTTCTTATTAGCATTCATAAAATGTAATTTAGAGTTTAATACTTAATTAATGTTGTTTCTTAGAAGATTTAGATATGTGCTTAATCAAGATAGCTTTTGCTTATGGTTGCACATTTGGATTGTGGAATGATATTTCATCAGGTAGTTGATGCAATGCGCCAAACTGTGACAAATATGATTGGAACGCTACCTCCTCAATTTTTTGCAGTAACAGTAACTAGTGTAAGTATTCATGCTGTACACTTGTAATGAAAATGTTTGCTTTGGTTTAAGACTGGGCTTAAAAGATTTGCTTATGAGTAGATAAGTAAGTTTTAAAATAAATAGTTTTGTATTGGTCAAAGTTGGAAAAGTTACTTATTTTGAAAATACCTTGTACCTTGCTTTCAAAATAAGTAACCTTTCACTTTTATGTAAAAAAAGGTAACTTATACTAACGTGTGGAAAATGAAAAGTTACTTAAAGGTAAGTTTTAAGTATTTTTAAGCCTAGCAGAACATTCTGTGAGTTTATATTGTGATTTTGGATAGTTTGGCATCTTTTAGGTTGCGGAAAATCTTGCACAGCTCATGTATAGTGTCATGATGACCGGATATATGTTTAGGAATGTGCAACATCGGTTGGAATTGCAGCAAAGCTTGGAACAGGTTGCTCTTCCTGAACCACAAGAAAAAAAGGTGAGTCCTTGTGTTTGCCTTATCACATCTCAGTTCATTTGATTTTCCTCCAGTTGAATCTTTGATACTGAGGTGAAAGAAGAACACGTGGAGATAAATAACTACTAGCCAGACGTAGTATATTTGGAAGAAGTTGTGAGTATATTTTAGATGGAAAAGGGAAGGCAAATGATGTCTATATTCTGAAATTACTTTATTATATTTTCTATTGTTTTTAGTTTCATTTGCATAATCCTTTGTTTTTAATCAGCTGTGGCAGCTTTTATTTCCTCTTTTTCTTTTGAGTTCGCGACTGAAAAATAAGTTGTCATATTCTGATTTCAATTCTTCGGGAACACTGCCTAACTTGCCTTTTGTGTGGTGGTGGAAATTGTAGTTATCAATTATAGTGATCACGTATAAATAATGATCACCTTTCATGTCGCATGATCTTCCTGATATATGTCTCCTATCCTATGATCTTCCACTGATGGAAATTGGTACTTAGGGAACCAAGCTTGACTTGTTTTGTTGTTCGTGATTTTTTTATAAAAAAAATGTGGATCAAAGGATATCACCCCTTTTGCGAGTCTCGAACCAGGTCAGCAGCCTGGTAAGGCTTCACTATAACCACTTGAACTAGGCCTTGGCCTTTTTTGTTGTTCATGACTTGTGAGTGTGTTGGACTAATAAACAACATTCCTTGTTTCTTTTAGCTAGATCAAATATGGTTTCAATCAATATTTGGAGTCTGTATATTCTTTTAGGAGAACTATGACAAGTTCTCTTTGAGGTTAATAACCTGTTGTCATTATTGATGTATCATTTTACAAATATTTCTTCGATTTTGAATTGTATTCCATAAAATTTTTATTCACAAATAAAAATTCAAAAAGAGTTTCATTTTTGAGTGAAGTTACACAATCCGGTTCGTGTTATTAGGTATTTTTTTCACGAAAAGCAGACACGAGATAAGAAATCAAAGTGAATGTCAAAAAGAAAATGATATTGTATTTACCTGTTAGTGATGAAGAGTCTAATAGAGACCTCATTGACGACTTACTATTATAATATTAAGATGTGTCTGAAAAATATATTTATTAGATTTAGATATAATTAGATGAGATTGGTTTTTGAGATACTAATGTGTATAAGAGTATATTAGATTAGGTGTGATTAAATAATATTGGTTTTTATGAGAAATTAATATGATTAGATCTATTAGAAGTCTTTCCCTTGGACTTAAATTCTTTACCACTACACAACCAGGGTTTCTGTTTGTTTACACTCTTGAAAATTTAATATAATTACAATTTTTTCTTCTTCCTAACGAACTTCTCTCATTTTCTCTCCTCTTCTTTCTCCCATTTCTCTCTCTTCTATTCTCTCCTCTCTCTTTCCCATCCTGCACGGGGTAGCCTTTTCTGGCAGAAAGCACTTGTTTACTTCTGAAATCTGGCAGTTACGGGAACTGTTGCTGACCAATTACTATTTTCTTCAGTCAGATATTGTTTTCAATAGGTCTATGTTTGGGTCTTTTGTGTTGATTTAATAAAGGGAAATTGGTGCAAATGGTCCCAGACTTTTGCATTTTTAGCGTCAACAGTCCTTTTGGATGGGATTCTGTCCAAAGTTGCTCTTATTTTGTGTTTTATTTGAAGGACCGAATTTGTCAAACTTTAAAAAAAAAAAAAAAAAAAAAAAAAAAAAAAAAAAAAAAAACTACCAAAAAAAAAAAAAAAAAAAAAAAAAAAAAAAAAAAAAAAAAAAAAAAAAAAAAAAAAAAAAATCTAAAATTCCCTCTTCAAATTTGTGAAATAAAAATTAAATACTGAAAAAAATCAAAAAAGAATTGATGTAAAAAGGGAAAAAAAGTAAAAAAAGAAAAAGAGTACAATCGTCTTCTTCCAACCCCCAGACCCACTGCCCTATCTCCACACCAACCCTCAACCCCACTGCCCCAACCACACCCAAACCAGATAGCCTGATGTCGTCACACCCAAATAACTTGGCCGGAACACATTCGAAGTCCAATGAAAGCTATCCATTGTGAAATCTCTCTCCGCCTCCGGCTCTGCCGCTAAATCAGCAACCTACCCAGCTCTATCTGTGCTGCCACAACTGCCAAATCGGTTCAAATCACTGCCCATCTTTAACACAATCTCCAGCCATGCCACCATCTTCACCGTCACCACAACAGTAGACATAAAAAGTAGAATCACCACCGATGGCTACAACTATAAAAGTCAAATCCAACACAGATTACAATTGCAAATTTCACGTATCTGAGATGCAATTTCAAAGATTTCAACTCAGATTTTATATACGATTTTAGCCCACATGTCGTTTGATTTTTTAAAATTTTTTGCAAATTGATTTTCTGCATGATGAATGTACCAGCAATGGTAGAAAAAGTTATCGGAAGGGATGAGATATTTAGTATCTAGAATCCATTTCCTGCAATTTCATTAGTGGTATTATCTTGAAAATTGAAGGATTTATTCACTTCTTCAGTTGATAGATTTTGTGGGGGATGAAGAAGTTTCAGATTTTGAATGAGAGGTGGTGGTGGTGAAATGGGCTGGCCGCAGTATGTGATGTTTTGCAGTGTTTTTGTTGGGTGGGTGATAGGTTCCTATTCCAAATGCAATTCACCCAACCATATTAATAGCAGAATTGAAGTAGACAGAAGAAAGAAAGCCAAGCTGGAATTGCACTCTCTGTTTTCTGTAATAATACTAAAGGATAGGAAATAACTCTGCTATGAAGAATAACAGTAATTTATATAACTCTATTTCTGTAATACAGCAAAAATGCAATGAAAGAAGGACATTTGGCATTCGAGAGGCCAATTCTCTCCCAATAGACTACCCCAAATTCTGCCTGCCTTTCTGCTCTATTTTTCGGTCTATTTATAATGGCTCTCTAACTAATTCTCCAGCTGCCTCTGTTACTTTCATGTGCTGCTAACCGCCTCCATTCATTTCCTTATTATGCACTTGCTATTTTATTACGTCTTGCATATGTGAATTGAATTTGGTGTCTATCATTGGGAGTGGGGTGGTTTGGTAAGGAGTCATATTTTTTTTAATTTATAAGTGTGTGGGTAACAACGGTGAAAGATTGGAGACCAAACGTACAATCTATCCTTCATGTTACCTGATTTTTAATTTGACAAATTTGCCGCTTGAACTGAAGGAAAAAAAAAAGAGAGAGAAATTGGATTCCACACACAAAATTAACAGCAATTTTGGATGGAATCCATCCAAAAGGACTTTTTGTGCTAAAATGCAAAGGTTTGGGACCAATTATGCTACTTTTTAAAGGTCTGGGGCCAATTTTCTAAAATAAACCAATTGAGCTTTTATTACTGTTACATTCAAATGTGTTAATGATATTAAGTATTCCCATCTCTGATGTGCTATTTTGACTTGGTTCTATGAATGTATAGGATGCACAAGATTATGCTCCAGGTACACAGAAAAAAGTGACAGGTGATGTTATAAGGTGGAACAATATCTCGGGTCCTGAAAAAATAGATGCAGTCAAATACATCGAGTTACTTGAAGCAGAGATTGATGAACTTAACCGCCAAGTAGCAAGAAAAACTGCTAATGGACACAATGAACTGTTGGAATATCTAAAATCTCTAGAGCCTCAAAATCTGAAGGTTAGAGGTCCTTTTCCCATTTTAGGTAGCAGTTGAAACATTATGATTCGTGGATGCCAAAAGAAAGATCTTTAGATGCTATGTTAGTTGATTTGTAGATGGTTGTAGCTCTGATTTAGTAATTTCAAGAAATTGTCAAGGCTTGAAATTGGACTATGTTTTGTACCCTATCTTGGGAAAGAGTATGTTCTAAGCTTAAAAAACTAAAAGTTGACTTTCTTTCTGTTACTTATTTATAACTTTGACATAGTTTATTCACACATGAGGGAAGCCTTGTCACGTCACTCATCTGGGTTTGAATCTCCTTCGTGGAAAATGTGAATTTAAAAAAAAAACAAAAATAAATATGATTAAGAAAGAAATTATTTATTTCTAAAATTATTCACTCATAAGTAAACTTTTTAAGCTTATCCGAACATCCTCCAACTGGGGTGAACAGTAATTCAAACTTATAACAGCCTGGCCATTTGCGAATCAACAATATTCATAACTGCAAAACTAGTGGAAATAGTGACATGTAGTTCTCTAATTCTTATTTCTTCTTGTGACACAGGAGCTAACAAGTAGTGCAGGGGAGGATGTTGTGCTGGCTATGAACACATTTATAAAGCGGCTCTTGGCTGTTTCGGACCCTAGTCAAATGAAGGTACACTATTGTAGATGCTTTCGATTCTTGTACTTCTTGTTGATACCAACTTTTAAGTATCTAATTTTCTTCATAATCGATATGTTTAGGATTTTAATGGAACTCAAATTCTACACCATATAGACTGCATATGCTAATACTTTAGTTGTCTATTGAATTTTATTGCTTAAATTAAGATAAAATGACTGCTATCATATTTAAATCAGATAGAAGCAGTTTCTATGCACACCATTTATAAGTTAATTTGAGTGCTAACATTAACAAGGATGAATACAATTTTAATGATAATTTCTGTACACACATTTGACCGAATATTTGCTTGACTGAGTTCGAGAAGTACGCTCTCTTTATTGAGACAGTATTTGATTCCACCACATTCTTGAACAGTTCTTTTAGATTTTGCAGCCTGTAGGTCCCAATAATCCTATATAGGGCAAGGTTTCAAACCAGCAATTTGCTGCCTGTCTTTTATTTAAGAACACTTTCTTAATTACCCTTTTCATATGTTTGCTATGAAGTATTAGATAGGACTCAACAGTATTTATAGAAGAGAAAGAAGCTAGAAATTTTGTCCATTATATTTTTTAGTACTACATGCTAAACATGCATTTCTAAATTAGATGGTTATTAAGGAAAAACGAACCTTTTTTCATTCGCAGACTAGTGTGACGGAGACAAGTGCCCCGGAACTTGCCAAGCTGCTTTATTGGCTTATGATGGTTGGTTATAGTATTAGGAACATTGAAGTTCGGTTTGATATGGAACGTGTACTCGGTGCAACAGCAAAGCTAGCCGAGCTACCTCCAGGCGAGAACATCTAGGCGCCCAATTGGAGCTTTGCGTCTTCTAGGATGAGAAGCTTGGAGCTGTATACCCTCTTACCACTGTGAAGGCATTGTTTTTGTTGGTGACATTACTACTTTTTATAAGCTGTTCTGGTGAATGTTATGGAGAATCAACTAATAGAGGGAAGGCTTTTGGATTCTTTCCTCCTGTTTTAGTTTAAATTACATTGATGAGAATGATAGGTTTTAAAGGGACCGTCGGCCAAAACTGTGTTAGAAATTGAACTACCTTAAATCTTTTGCTCAATTCAGCTTCAAAACTTTGTACTTGCTTTAGTTTGTCTTAAATTTGGATGAATAAGCTTAAATATTGTATCCAAAAAAATCCGGGACAAAACCTCAAATCATATTTGACCCCGTTTGACTCCCGTTAAAATTCATCAATTTAATTTAAAATTTTCTCTTTCCTATTTTTAACCACACAATATTCAATAAAATAATATTATACGCTAATTGAAAACTTTTAATTTTTTTCAACCATCGATTTTTTCAAAAAACAATATTCCCCCAATTATAAATCCAAATAATGGGGGCCAAACGGGTGCTTAAGCGATGTAGCCAAAAAAATCTTATTAATTGAGGTAACAAAGAATGCTATTTTTTTTTTTTATAAATAAAATTTAAAGTGCTTCTGACTTATGCATGAACGATACTGTTTTAAGTTGATTATAATCTTTAAATTGGATAAAAAATCACGAAAAAGCATTTTATCAAAAATTGAGGTTAAATTCTTTCTTACGTGAAAATAACATTAATGAGGTCAGATTCAATATTAGAATATACTAGTTAACCGTTGAGTGTGAAAACTAATATGATATACAATTATTAGAATATAGAATGCTTAAAGCTGTTTTGTACATAAGGGTTCAAAAGTTGGGGACCGAATGTGCAATTATATTTCCTAAACCTTCATCGTTAAGAGTCATTAGGTCATGTTAGGGTAGTAAAGTATTTGTCATGCGAAATGTGTTGAAAGTAAAATATTTGTAGTTTTGAGTGTGATCTAAGTAAATTGTCATTGAAATAACGAAGAAAGAACTCTTATCCTTCTCTAACTGGTTATTGTAACATAAAGTAAAAAAAGTACAAGGATTTTCTTTGGAGTCAAATTTGTATTAATTATCTTCCAAGATTTGTGAAGCTTATGGCTTAAGCTTTAGATCTAGGATTTCTACAAATATAGTTCTTGTGTGTTCATTGTAAATTAGATAGGATCAAGTCAAGTCAAATTATTCAATATTGAGCCTATTGTAACATAAGCGTTTCAATTTGTATTTAAGATTGTTTGAATCGCGATCATGTTTTAACCTCCTTCATAGTTGTAATTCCTCCACGATTATAATGTTGGTATCAGAGCCATATTCAAAAAAAAAAAAAAATTGTTTCTAGCCTTTATGATAGCTTAAGATTTTCCTTATTGCTATTTTCTACACCGGTTTGTAGTGACATGTTTATCTCCTAGTCTTTGACTCTTGAAAGAATATGCTATGTGGTTGTATTGAACGAGGACAAAACGTCCTAAATATCCCAGCCTTTATGAAAGAATAGCACAAAACGTCCCTACATTTGACACTTATTGTGGAAAAAGTCCATACGTTTCATTTTTTTGCATTTTCATCCTTATTTCAATGTTTCATTGTTAAAAAGGTCATTTTCACCATTTTTGAATGTAAAAAATCAAAATACCCTCATATCTAAATAAAACAAAAACAAAAAGAAAAATAAAGAATAAATTGCAAGCTTACTCCTAAATGTTTTAAAAAGTGCAAGTGAGTCTAAATAATTTTTAAAATGCCTAATAACACAACACGTTCCTACGTTTGGTCAGTAGTGTGCAAAACGTCCATACGTTTCAAATTGATGAAAATGACGTTTTTCGCAATAAAACGTGAAAATAGAGATGAAAATGTCGAAAAAAAATTGAAACGTATGGACGTTTTTCGTAAAAAAATGTCAAACGCAGAGACGTTTTCCACAAGAAGTATCAAACGTAGGGACGTTTTATGCTATTAGACCTTATTCAAATTGAAACCATTGCCAAATCGCCGAACCTCTATACCATTTCAAAAATATCATTATCCAAACTCTGGCGGCACCACCTGTTCTGAAAAGATCCATGTCATTTCCAACACACCAATAGACTATATTTATCAGGATGTTTCTCTTCACGGTCTTAAAATATCAATAGATGGTTTAGCATTAGCGGTATGGAGGTTCGGTGATTTGGACGATGGTTGGTCGGAGCTTTTTTATTTCTAAGGTAGCAATCTCATTTGGAGAAGAAGAGACCATGAAGAGAAGCGCTCTAGTGAGTATAGTCGATTGGTGTATTGGAAATGACATGGATCTTTCAGGAATAGGTGGTGTTGTCAGAGTTTGGATGATGGTATTTTGGAAATGGTATGGAGGTTCATCGGTTTGGTAATGGTTTCAATTTTAATAAGGTCTAATAGCACAAAACATCCTTACATTTAACACTTATTGCGAAAAACGTCCCTACCTTTGACACTTCTTATAGAGAATGTCCATATATTTCAATTTTTTTATTTTATTTTTTGTATTTTCATCCCTATTTTACGTTTCATTGCGAAAAACGTCATTTTCATCAATTTGAAACTTAGGGACGTTTTACACATTATAGGTCAAACGTAAGAACGTTTTGTGCTATTAAACCTTTTAATAATTATTGGATTCATTTGCACTTTTTAAAACATTTAGGAGTAAGATTCCAATTTATTCTTTATTTTTTTTTGGTTTTATTTAAATAAAAGGGTATTTTGATCATTTTATATTAAAAATAGTGAAAAGGACGTTTTTAGCAATGAAACGTTGAAATAAGGATGAAAATGCAAAAAAAGAAACGTAAGGACGTTTTCTGCAATAAGTATCAAATGTATGGACGTTTTGTGCTATTGACCCGAAACACTATCTATCTGATATACTCTTTGTTTTGGCATTCTATGGAGGTGATATTGGTACCTTTGAATAAAGCAAGGATAGAAGGAAACCACCCATGAAAATATGACTGGTTCTACAATTCTCTACTATCTCTTTCATCTTCACCTTTGCCTTCAAAGTCTTTATACTCTAAGTCTTTGTTTCCCATTCTGAAATTGTAGAATTTATTTTTGCATCACATCATGGGTCCCATCATTTACGCCATTGTTTTGAATACATGCAATTGTCATTTTTGTAATTCCTTTTATGCCCACTCTTTTGTCCAATAGTGTGGGGAGTAGTGAAAATAGCGTGTTTGGAGAGAAGGATAGGATAGGGAAAGTGAAGAGGAAAACAATTAATGCTACAGTGAAATGTCATGTTAGTGTCAAATGAATGCATTAAAAAAATGGGTTTGTGGAAAAGTAATAGTTTTTCTACTTAGGAACAAAAAATGAGAAACAAACAAGTGCTAAAGTAGATTACTTGTTTGAAGTCGAGGACTTAGATGAAGATAGTAAAATCCCAATAGTAGATATCTCTCTTTTAAATTCATATAAAGCCACCACAAAACCTATATCTTGGCTGCAATAGTACCTAATTCCTTCTACTGAAGCTGGTCACATGATTCTATTAAATCTTCAAGAATTCATTGCATTTCAATGGAAGAATCATGGCGACACACATCCATTTTGGAGCAGTGAGAATTGCTATTACCTTTTGGTCGACGAAAAGGCCTTCTGGTAGTGACCAGGCTTGCTCTCTTAGACACCATATTCATTGAGTATCAACATGCTTCTATTGCTACAATACAAACAATTTAAATTCTGGAACAGCGTTCATCACTCTATTCCTAAATTTCAACCTACAGACCATAGACCCTCATGTTTTTTAGCCAACCTAAAATTCCAGCTGCAGTTCACATGTGCTTATCAAATAAGCACTACTTGTGTGCAGCCACACTTGATCTGAATAGAGTCCTTGTGTGTCCATTGTAGCCAACTTGATCTGATCTGAGTCACAACAAACACACAATAACTCTATGTACAGAAATCATAGACCTAAAAGCTTCATAAATCTAACAACAGAACTGTTACAAACTTGACTCCAAAGTAAAGCGTGGTACTTTACATTAGGCTACATCCAGTTTTATTCCATTTTAATGAGGTTAAGCGCTTGTTTGGGCTCCATTTTAATGAGGTTTTGGGCAAAATGTATATAGGTAATTTTTTGGAGAATGTGTGATTAAAAAGTAAGGAAAAGTTTTGGGTTTACTTGTAATATTATTTTATTGAACAATATGGCTGAAAATAATGAGTTTTGAAAAAATGTATTTTGGGTTTAACGGAGTTCAAACTAAGGCTAAAACAAGATCCCAGGGCAAACAATCATAGACACACTCGAACCCTCGATATTATAGAAGAATATATGACAAGATTCGCTATTGAATAACTTGACTCAACTTGATCCCATCCAAGTTACAACGAACAGAATTGTTACAAATTTGACTCCGAAGTAAAGAACACCAATGCACTTATGTTACAGTAACTTGTTGGAGAATGATAAGGATGTCTTAAGCTTGATTCCAATCACCCTTGGCTTATTTTTAAGCTTAAGCCACCCCGAACTTTTTCACGATTGTGTAAAAAGAATTATAAATATGATAAAAATAAGATTTTGCACAAAAATTAGGCTGAGCCAAATTGATTAGCTACAGAGATTGTGTAAAACTGGGATGATAGTTCAAGTGGTCTCTTAACTTTGTTAAAGGTTTTCACGGGATCGCTGAACTTTAAAAATCACCTCATTCATCATTAAACTTTGCAATTTATAATCACGTTCATCACTTATCTCGTGGTCCGTCAAAAATTTGACGAAATGTTGATGTAGTTGTATACATGGCACTATGTCTCAATGATGAAAGAAATTACAAATTGCAGAGTTTATTGATGAATGGGTGACTTTTAAAATTAAGAGACTTCGTAGATTATTCCGTAAAACTGCAAAGTCAATTTTGCAAAGGTAAATAACGATGATTATAATCGTTATGCCTTGACGAGAGGAGCACATGGAGGTCGTCAAGACTTGGTCGAATATAAGACTGGAAAGCTTTCTCGAGTGATTTGGCTGCAAAGATGGAACTTGTAACTTGCCAGGGTAGGAGCAAAAGGGATAAAATTGGAAAATTCTGTCAATGGAAAGACTTTCATCCAGGATTTTGTTGATGTATCATGCATGTGCATTTCTCCATTTTCTCCTGCCTTCTTTTACAAGAAGAAATAATCTTTTGCTATCA